TATTCACAATCTGCTGTCTCGACGTCAATCCGCTACCAACTCGCTATACGCTATTTATTAGCTTGGTCACCAATAGAACAGCATGCCACTCTGGCTTTCGATCTCTGCTTCTCTGCTGTGACTTTCCGAGACTGGACCCACATAGTAGGCATATATGCGCATGCATGCATGCTGAACCTGGGTCAAATGTTGTTTTTGCCTTTTGGCGGAGGCAGAAGGGATCACAGAAGACTACACAAAGCATCATGGACCATGCATGGAGGCTGCACTACAGGGCCACCCCGGTCAACCCATGGCCTACCTCACGCATGCATGCATGACATTCTGTTGCAGAGCTGCACACCTCATGTGTGAATCAGCACCTCTTCAAAGCAAGTATAACGAGGGGTTGTAGGTGGGCCATATGCTGAGATGGAGTAGAGAGTAGAGGAGAGAGAAGAGAAACAGGATGTAAGTTTACAGCCAGCTAGCTTGCACAAAAATGAGACAGACAAATGGGCTATAAGTTGGCTAACTATTATACTGGTGAGCTAATAGATTGGTTGTAAGTTCCCATACAGTTAGCAGCTGGCTGTATTATTAGCTTTGCTCTTAGGCTAGTCTCAGTGGAAGTCTCACGCAAGTTTTATCTGTATTTAATAGTTTGTCACATGAGTATTTTTTATGATGTGGTAATGTTTTTTAAGAAGATAGGGAATGCATGAGTTTTACGTAGATGAATCTCTCTTGATTCAGTTTTCAACTCTAGATAAGTCATATAATTAAATACCCATAAAACAAAAGAATAAAATTATGCATCGAAAGTGATTGTTTCGCTCATGTTCCATTGCATTCTATATTCTTGGAAACGCTATAAAACTATCCACTGAGAATTATCTTATATCAAAAAAGAACCAGCAGCTTCTCTCTTATGAGCTCGATCTCATTTTTCCTTGAATCGTTGTAGGTAGCTCCAATATAACCTTACACAAGATTAACTCATCAGATCAAACGCTGGTAAATAATTTTTAACTCCCCTAACTCCTAGTATAAATGGAGAAATAAATTCTTGTTAGATCCTCAAAAATCATAATCTAGTTTTGTTTAGTTTACCTGTTTGGCTATCTAATCTAGAAGCGATTTTCATGGAGAATATGAAGCTAGGAGCACTCCCAAACGACCCCTTACATTACTACTAGCTTCTTGTGTGAGTTACTGCTATAAAGTTCATAGGCCACCGAAATAATCCTAGTCACCGCTCCTAAAATTTAAAAATACATGACAACATTGTTTTGTCATTGAGCACACTACTTGCTATGTGTTAAAGTCCCACCTACACTCTCACATAAGCGAGTGTCCTCTTCCTAGCTAGTAATGTTCACTAGGGAACAAACCACTAACTATGTAAAAAAGAACCTACCTTAGCTCCATATTACATTTACACCCCCCCCCCGACAAAATTCTTGCACATGAAAAATTGTATCGACATATGTGGTCTTAGTATAGCTAACATGTTTAAGATCCCTTTAGGCCCTGTTTGGTTGGGCTTTTGGCTTTGGCTTTTGGCCCCAAAAGCCAAAAGCTCAATCAAAGGGTCTGCTTTTGGAGGGTGCTTTTTCAGAAGCAGCTGCTTTTCCGTAGTTCATTTTTGAAAGCTGGGTTGACCCTGCTTTTGGCTTTTGGCTTTCTGCTTTTCGAAATTGGTGGAATAAAAAGCTCTTCCATAGTTGTTTCAAGAGAGATAAAGATAAAAGGTATATTTTATACTTGTTTAACCAAACAGCTTTCAGCTTTTCTACAGCTCACAGCCCACAGCAGCTTTTCCACAGCTCACAGCCCACAGCAGCTTTTTCCCACAGCCACAGCTCAACCAAACAGGGCCTTAGAATGCAGGAAGTTCTTGTGTTTCCTGTACGATTCTCGTGAAATTCCTAGGCAGTAATTATAAACCCTTACCGCTAGCTGGTTACAAAAACCACCGTGGTCCATCAGTCGATGCTGTTCCAGAGTTGGTGCCCCCAGGAACCAAAGTGGTCCCACCTGGGTGCTGACCTGTCAATTAATTTGGCTATTTTGAATAGAAGAACAGGACGCCAGACAACTGTGCTGCGCCGCGAAAGCCGTTCTAGATATATATATCTGACGCCCTTAGAGATGGCTAGGCTAGCTTGAAGATATGGTCTGTTTTGCATCGAACGGCGGCCGGTGATTCACTGTGGCTATGATTATGTCATTAAACCTTTTTTATTTATTTTATAGCCAAAATTATTAATAACCAGTAACATTATTATCAGCTAAATCCAAAACATACAGCTAGCAGCTCCTATAGAGCCAAAAAGCTTCTACAGCCAAGAGGCATGCATGGAATTAAAAGCAGTCAAGATTTACAGCACTTGAAATATATGTTGCTCAATCAACTACTGCTTAAAAAAATGGAATCATCCGGGAAAAACCAATGGTTAAGAGAATAATAACAATATGCCAAGTATATGTATTTTCCATCTCTACTGCCATATACTTGGAGAGAGAATTATACATGGATGCAAGCAATATATAATATATATTTATCTTGCCTCGTTTACATCGTCTATGTATATTATCTTTCGAGAAAATAATCAATGTGCCCTGGATTCGCTGATGATGTTCTAGCAGGAAATGAATGGGATTCCATTCTCCCTTTAGAAGACGGAGATCTCTGTGCTATTATGGCAGTGCTTGAATGCAGTGGCCTCTGACTGCACCTCGTCAGTTTCCCTGATATCTTCAGCAACCGCCACCCATTTCTTGTGCAGACCTCATGGACGAACGTTGGAACAAAAGCTCTGAGCAACCCTGTTCTTCCGCCGTGATTACTCCTGTGTTTCAGCTTGGGTTACGGTCCTCCCAGTACTATTTAATTTTCACCTGTTATTTTTTTTATCATTCTTTACATGGGTTTATTGGCATATGGCAACTCTAAAATGCATCCCTGTTTGTTTGGATCCGTGTACTGCTTCTTGTGCATTAGAGGTTGCTAGAAGTCATCAATGGTTGCTAAGAGGATTCTAAGGGACAGGTTCACCTCATGGAAGCTCTATACACGTGATTTGCGGTAAAAACTGCGTAGCTAATTGTCCAAAAATGTGGTCCGTCAATTTTAGTACTTCAATTATATAGACCACCCAGCAATGTGATTTTTACAACCTTGAATTCTCAAGAAATAAAAATTGATAACTAACAAAATGGGTGTGTATTTGAAAGGTGACTTCAATTCTTTTTCATGGATAAAAGCAGCGAGTAAATTGCCCGAAGAAAAGCGTGCATCATCTAAATTGGAAAGGAAATTGCTTGCAAGCGGCACGATATAGCAATTTGGGTCGATTATTGTGTTTTTCTGTTCATAGAAATTTCTCTCGTGCTGGTAAAATATTTTACTTAACGATCAGTAGAAAGTTATCAGTATATCAAACCATATGTGTGGATTTTTTTTAATTTGTTTCCTAGGTAGAAAGTATATGAAGAGATAATCGGCGCACCTATTGTGTTTGTGGAAATCCAAATATACGCAACTTGTCAAAGATAAAAATGTATACATTTGTCGGTTAAGACCACGTTCGTTATGTATACGACAATTGACATGTTTAACTTGACTTGTACAAAGGTGTAAATACAAATGTACAAAGCAGAGATATGCCCACTCAATCACTTTAGCAACGGAAAACCGCCATGACACATACATGACTTGGATATCCTTATCAATTCCACCATATCCAAGGTGACCGTCTCAAAAGTATCGATACCTTGGAAAAAAAAAAGTGGCCCACTAATGCCAAAAGTGTTCCGCCTGCCCCTTTTACTAACCAACCGCCAACATTTGTCGCATTCGCTCAATGAAATTTCAAAGTCATAGAAATGCTAGCACATCCAGTAGATCCATTCTAGTGTAGTATCCATCTTTTCATCTCATGACACACAAAACATAAGATGATCTGACGATCATCAAGATGCACACAACCAATATTCTTACGTACCATATCCGTAAAGCCAACAAGGACTCGTCACTTGTCGGTAAGAATTCCGCTTGCTAGCTACACGACATTTGGCATGAGTTCATCTGACTGGTAAAAATGTGAAAATGCAAAAGGCGGCAAAAGCAAAGCTACGCCTACACCATCTTAGCAATGGATCAATTTGGAAAACCATCGTGACACATACATGACTTGGATATGCTTATCAATTCGACCGTATCTAACCGTTGTCGTATCAGAGACATCAATACCCGACAACTAAAAAAGATATCCACTCACCAAAAGTGTTGCACCTAACGTTATTACGGACCAACGACCCGTTTGTCGTGTTCGCTCTGTCCGATTCCGAAAGTCACAGTGATCCTAGCACGACGTTCAGGGATCCACTTTGGTGCAATAGCCATTGCTTCGTCTCATGAGGCATGAACATAAGACCATCCATGGATCAAAGCATACACAATAGTCACCTCTTGCCTATCTCACATACATATATAGTTACCATATCAGATCAATCAAAATACTCTAAATACCACAATACATCAGGGCTAGCCCCTGCCCCCGGTTTTGGCAGTCATCCACATCTTCTTCCTTTAATTTGTCCATATATATGCACCCAACAAATTAAATAGTCTATCTATTATTTTAAAGAAAAGCAGAATCCTCTATCTATCTATATATCTAGAGGTAACGAAGCCACAGACACAGCAGGGCGCAGGCACGCACCACGCAGGCCCGTTGCGGTGGCCTCGCCTATATAAGCAGCGGCAGGCGAGTGCGGAGGGACCCAGCTAGGCAGCCAGAGCCAGTTCTTCCACACCTAGCGGGGCAGCCAGCCGCAGCCGAAGAAACCAAACCAACTCCACCTGGATCCCCGAGCGGACAAGAGGAGACCGGACCCGACCCCAAAGGAGAAGGGGAGAAATCTTTTCCTGCCTCGGAGGGCGAAAACCCCTCCGATTCCGCCCGCGGCGCTTTCCATTCGTTCCGATCGATTGGATTCCTCCCCCGGCTCCAATGGCGTACTTCGGCGGCCGCGGCCAGGGAGCGGACGGCGGGTGGTTCGTGCCCGGCGCCGACGGGTGGGCGCTCCCGTGGGGGAGGGGCGCTGCCGCTGCCGGCGCGAGCGGCAGCGGAGGCGAGAGGGAGACGCTGGCGGCGGTGATGGCGAGGAGGGCGCCTCCGCCGTCGGCGATCCGGCGGGACACGGTGCGTGCCGCGGAGGCGGCCGCCGGCGAGGTGGTGCTGCGCGTCCACCCCACCCAGGAGGCGGAGCGGCGCCGCCAGGACGTAATCAGCTACCTCAGGCGACTCATCGGCTCCTCCCTCGGCTGCGAGGTGCGTGCGTACCCCCCGCTCCGATCCCTCTCCATCTCCCTACCGGAGGGAGCCGTTTATTTTCTCGCGAGCGCCAGCGCTAGCTCCCTAGCCTCTCCTTGTCGCCCGCCGCTTGCCCGGCCGCCGCGCGCCGCCTCGGGGTTCACGCGTCGTCGTCTTCAGCTTCGGGAGGGAGAGAAGGGAAGGGGTTTAGCTTTCCGTTTCGTTTTCGTGTCGTGTGGCGGCGCTGCTTGGTGTTTGCTGCTTGCTTCCATTCCCGGAACGGAAGCCTCGTGCCGCTGGCCCACTGCTGCGTACCCGCAATCCCCGATCCCAATCGCATTGCCGCGTACAGCACGATGGTCAAATCTGTCGCCTTCGCCCGCTTTCACCGTGCCCCGGGCCTGTCGCTAGCGCGAGCTGAGAAAAAGAAATGTGTTTAGTGACGTGACGTGGACTGTGGTCGCTGTCGCCGTAGCGTATGTAGGTCGTAGCTTTCTCCGCGTCTTTAGCGAAAAGGCCGCAGCCGCACGTACGTGCATCCGTCGTCCGTCCATGGCTGTTTCTGTTTTCGTCATGCGCGTATGTGTGTGCCTATGCTAATTCCGGCCATTCCATGCATGCTCCTGTAGTTTTCCTTCACCTAGCCGCTGGGATTGGGATTAGGGATATTCTGTTTATTAATTCTTGATCCATACTTCCATGTCCCACGTACCCTCCATGGTCTTTTTCTAATGGTACCTTTTCGACTAATCATTCAGTCGACTCGTCAGTCTTAGTACTTGGATTACTAGAACCCTTATGTCACGCCAGGTAGCATGCATCACGTCATGTGCAGTGGCTAGTATTTTCAGGTCCATTTTCTGGTCAAATGTATTTTTTGTCCTTTTATGTTCGTGTAATTAAGTAATTTGACTATTTAAAAATTATTACGTAACTGGAGTATACCTTGCTTCCACTTTTTTACCCTGTTGCTACCAAGTACGTACAGGTTTTGTTAAGCCGGCGATATTAGGACATTTCTGGGCACGATTAGAACTGTTTCTGTTTCTGTCGTGGACTGCGGCCTCCTGTGTATAGCTTGTAGCTTTTTCCGTGTCTTCAGAGAAAAGACACGACCCATCCTAGGCCTTCGCCGTGTCCTGAACTCGTGATCGTGTCAGGCTCGTAATCTAGGTGCATGCGCCGATGCATCGCAGGTGACCTGTGATGTGGGTTCCTGGGTAGTTCATCTCACATCTCACGTGCCTGAATCGAACAGGCTTCGGCAAAACAAACAGGCTTCGGCAACTATATATGATAGCTTTGCTTGACACCGGCCGTAGTGGCTGCCTACCATCTCACGTGCCTGAATCGAGCAGCATCGGCAACTAATAGCTTTTCTCGACACCATATCTAGTGCCATCTGCGCTACGTTACGTGCTGCGGCGACATGCGTATACGATATACCTTAGATGAGTGTGCGGCATGCAGGGCCTGAAAAATTAGGCCGATGCTGCATATCCTATTGATATTTATATTTACTGAAAGCTGTGGTGACCACCTTCATGTCAACCTCCTCGACATGCTGCGGCCACTGGCCAACATTTGAGAGATACGGATGCCACAGAGCAGGAGCAATGTGTCTAGGTTGATCAGCATAGGTTCCTTCCACTTCCTGACACCGTACTGCATTCAACTGTGGTGCACGCATGAGATCTGTTTTGTATGCAATTAAAACCGTATAAGAAGCATCGTGTTGGTGTTTATAGATGTTCGACAGTAGTTCGTACACACCACATCCACAGATCCACTAATGTCAATTGAAATGCATGTTACATTTTCTCAGTGGTTTGGCTATTAGTGTGCAGCACATTTTCTCGGTGGATTTGCTATTAGTGTGCAGCACATTATCTCCTTTATTTTGAACATTAGCACATTTTGCACTGAAATAACATTGTTTTTTGTATTATCATACAATCCAGGTCTTTGCATTTGGATCAGTGCCGCTGAGGACGTATCTCCCCGATGGCGACGTTGATATAACCGTACTGGGGAACACATGGTTAAACAGTACATTCATCGATGATGTCCGCAGGATGCTCGAGTCGGAACAGGAAAACTGTGACGCCGAGTTCAAACTGACAGGCTTGCACTTCATCAACGCTGAGGTACAGTGCATATTCCTATTTGTGCATCTTATGTTTAACCCACTTTTCTGTCAAAGTAGTTGATACTTGATACACATTATTTTTTTCTTGATACATTTTGATATTGCCCGTGTGCTAACTTTGGTTTTATTGTTCAACTAGGTTAAGCTCATAAAATGTATTATTGAGAACATTATCGTGGATGTCTCTTTCAACCAGATTGGGGGTGTGTCCACGTTCTGCTTTCTTGAGCTGGTAAGCAAATGCAAACTTGAATTTTTGCTCCACATGCACTTTCTGGGTTTGAAAAACACTATACATTGAACGAGTTACTGTTATTGCTTTAGGTTGACCGTCAGATTGGCAAAAACCATTTGTTCAAAAGGAGCATTATGTTAATCAAGGCTTGGTGCTACCATGAAAGTCGCATATTAGGAGCCCATCATGGACTGATATCTACTTATGCCTTGGAGACACTTATTCTTTACATATTCAATATGTTCCACAAGTCTCTGCATGGTCCTATGGAGGTAATAATTTTTGGAATTCAGAACTTCTTTTGAGCTCTTACAAATATGTTTAAGTGATATTCAAACTAACTCTTTTGCATGTACTACCTGCTTTTTTTGACAGGCCCTTTATAGGTTTTTGGAATATTTTAGCAAGTTTGACTGGGATCGATATGGCATTAGCTTAAATGGTCCTGTTGATTTGTCATCATTACCGAACTTAACTGGTGGGTCATATGTTCTTGTTTTATTTTGTTTTGTTGATGAATCACCAGTGGTATGATCTATTGTCTAATTATTAAAATTTGCAATTTGCAGTGGAACCTACAGAAGTACAAGGCGAATTATTGACACCTTGACTATAAGGAATTCCAACAAGGCTATTTGGATGAGACTTGTTGTAATTCCAAATGAGTTTGAGGGATGCGACACACAGCATCCGCTATTGTTAGATGAAGTTTTTAAATATAATTGATCCACTCAAGGCGAATAATAATCTTTAAGTCCGGAAGTGTCTAAAAAGCAAAGGTTAGAATAAAAAAGGCACTAATTCATTCTATTATATATTGTGTCACCTTATTTATTATGTTTTGAAATACCGTATTGTGTGTGTGTGGATGTTTACCACATGAGTTTTTTTTGCTGCACGATACTAAAAATCCTTTTAGTGGAGGGTTCTTATGATAAGTGTTCTTGACATATGCTAATCTTGTGCAGCAAACTTTTATCTTTTAATGGATACGATAAGTGTTCTTTATCGTTTGGAGCACAAAAGCTTGGTCAAATTCTCATGTTACCCTCCGAGTACATTCGTGATGAAATTTACGGATTTTTCAAAACACCTTTGAAGAGACATGGAAAGGGAGAAAGACCAGACATTGACACTTGTAGTTCATTCCAACCCTTGCTTGGTCCCGAGAGGGCACTTAGTGAAGATGGATCGAGGTGTAAATCTTTTTGCATGAATGAGGTTGAAAACGGAAGTTCATGTCATTCATCAAACCGCTGCAGACAAGGACTCAAGTGTGACAGATGTGCATAAGAATTGTGTAAGTATTTGTCCGGTCTTATTCAGGATCTTCCTTGGAATAAAATCTGGTTCATGGAATATACATCTGATTTCAAAGAAAATCCATCAACTTTAGCAAGTTTAAGGAGCCACTCATCCTTTTCTCAAGATAATGGTAATGGCAACAGTAAAGAGTGCTTGGAGAATTATGCGCAGAGGAAGATTTACACCGGATCAAGTAGAGTAAATGTACCACAACAGATTTATGCAGAGCATCCCGCGCATATATCGAATAACTCGACTAGTGCAAATATCTTGGATTTTTGCAGTTCTTGTTTTGTTGATGAGTCGATTGACCTGCTCCCGTGCAGGAAAAAAGCTACTCCCACCCTTCTTGCTCATCAAATATCTTTGGATCTCTCGTGTGATCGGAGCTGCACTTGGGATGCCTTCGCAAAGTTCAAGTACCACCTAGAGTCTTTGTTTGATGAACTCCTGCAGTTGTTAAAGAAGCATGTTTAGCTGATATGCTAGATGAGGATTCTTTCAAGATGCCGACATGATCTTGAAGTTGAAAACTAGCACTAGATCCTCAAGCCTCGTCATTAGCTTCATCTCCATCGATAGCGAGAGAAGGAAACTATCTCCGTGTATTGTTCTCATAGCACAGGAGATGATTCACAACAACCACATGCCGAGGCCCAAGTGGATATGGTTTGGCGTGAGAATATACCATTGTCCCCAACGGATCAACATTTCCTTCATCTCCTTCAACCAATTCAGATAACTATCCTGTTTCTTGGTTTTGTTTCTCTCCTAAGACGCATGGAACTGGCACATACATTCCCAATGTGGTACAAGCTCTTATCACAAGATCTTATTTGTTTGTTTCCTTATTTGCGCTTTTTCAGTAAATTCATCGAGCTCTTGCATGATTTCTTATTTCCTTTTAAGGGTAAATGGTTTGTTATTACATCACTGTCAGGAAAAATTGCTTCGTTACCAAATCTCTGATTCAAATTTTTGTACGCTACATGGGCGTAGTTTTTGTATAACCAGATAGTATGTGACCATGTTTATTTGTAAAACCTTCTTCAAGTGGTTACTTATTCAATCTCTGTTCATGTTTTGATTTCCAGGATTATCATACATACAGGGAGCGTATAACGCTTGAAAGAGAAATCATACGAGCAAGAAAACAAAGACAGAGGTTACCTGATCGTCGGTATTACTCAGCTGAGCAAGGATATTCTGGCTCACAAACTGAAGATGCCATAGCACAAAGTGCAACAAATCAATCACGAAAGACGCAAAACAGTGCGCAGCAGAATGGTTATTCAAGCAAGAGCTCAGTTCCGGATGGAGATTTTGTTCGTTTCAAGGAGCATGTAGCAAAAGACGGTGGAACCAAACAGGCATTAGGAAGAGATTTTGTTGAGGGAAGACAGACAATGCCACCATCATCTTCGTCAGGGATAGTACTTCCTCAAAATGGTCAAGGAAATCCTACCTGTCAGCCTTCCTCACCTGCCACAGCAGATTTTTTACATGCGGCAGAAAGCGAGTTTGGATCCTTGGGGCCTTTCTCGTTGGGACTTTCCTCAGCCTCAACACAGTTTGAGGAAGCATTCCCAGCGCTTCCCACTAGAAAGAGAGCTGAAGTAGTACCTCCCCCTATTAGCAAGACGCCTGCTGAAGCCCCTGCTTCAGTGGCGCCGAGCGCTAAGGCTGTTGAAACCAAAAGCAGGTATTCATTTCCATCTCATAGTGTATAATTTTTATGCGATCAGTAACTTGCAGTGTTTTACTGCTTGGAACATGTAGCTCATGTTGTTGCAGTTTAGGACCCCATTAAGTCTGCAGTTTTGTTGTATCAGAAGTAATTCGAGTCAAGAAACTCCCATAATATTTTTAGTGAAAACGTGCAGGTCAGAAGAGAATGAAGAGATGTACCAACTGAGAGATGAAGCTGATTTCCCTCTCCCCTCCAAGCTGGTTGCCGCTGAGACTGACAGGACATTGAGATAATCCAGCTAATCGTAGTGGTAGAAGTTAATGACGGGAAGAAGCTCGGAGTTGCAGCGGGATGTCAGATAGGTGCCCCAGCAGGATTTAGGTCCGACAGCGTAGCAAGTTTAGATGCTATTAGCCTTCGTGATATGGTGGCAGTGTGGTGCCGTGTAAAACAATTATAATCCTCGTCTCACCTTTATTTGTTTTTAGATGATGATGAATCCTTTCCTTAGATAAGCAACACCTAGAAGGCGTAGTGTAGCAATATAGTTTCGTCTTCAGCGTAGACAGTCCAAAAAAAATTGGGCATGAGAAGTGGAAAATGTTCCCAAAAAAAGGAACCGTGATTCTGTAGATTTGCTTGTTTAGCTTTTGATTTGAAAATAGAGAAATGAAGAAAAGGCATTTAGGTGCAGCAGTTTGTTGTTTCTGTTTTATTGCTTCCGTGCATTACTTACCGAGACATGATATGTATAGCGACCCTAGTATCAAGGGACAAGTAAAATTTACCGTTCGGTCCATAAACTTGGCTGGCGGTGTCATCCCCGTCCATAAATTTCCAAAGTGATATGTAGATTCCTAAACTTGGCCACCGATGTTATCCTAGTCCATGAACTTTTAAAGTAATCACCGATGGTCCCCAAATTTAGATGGCGGTGTTATCCCAGTCCACAAAGTTCCAAAACGGTATATTCATGCCCCTAAAAAGTTGATTTCGGGTCTCATCTAGATCTAAATAGGACGTAGCCCACTCTGCACACCGACGTGGTACGCCGGGTGAGATTGGGTGGAACGAGAGGTGAGTGTCGATTGACCGAGAGGAGCAGGGAGGTCAGGAGTGGGGCCAGGGCACTGTGGGAAAGGTGTGTCGTTTTTTCTTTTTTATTCTTTTTCGGTGGAAGGGCGGTCGGGCGGACATGGGGAGCGGGAGGGTCTATTTTGTATTTACGTGATTTCTACGGGGTCACGAGGGAAGCAATGGACAAAGCGGGTGACGAACGAAGCAAACGACGAATGACGAGTGGAACCGTGAAGATGTTTTTCCGTTCTTCATAGTCATAGGGATAGAGAGGATAGGTGGACGTGGACCTGACATGTGGACCCCACATTTTAGGTCCACGTCAAAGGCACGGTTAGTGTCCAGAGAGGGTTAGGTCTTGTTTGACAAGAATATACCATTTTTTAAATTCAAGTACCAGGATGACCACCAACCAAGTTTATGGACCGACAGTGATCACCTTGAAAGTTTATGGACTAAAATGACACCGCTCATAAAGTTTAGGGACCCACATATGTTACTATGGAAGTTCGTGGATAAGGAAGTTTAGGACTGACGGTGAATTTTACTCTTCAGGACAATAGAATGCATGTCCTCCAACCTTTTAATTCAACCAAAACATAAATCCATAAAAATAAAGTCATAAACATCAAAAAGTTAATATAATGGAACTATCAAGGCATATCATTAAATGCGTAAATTAGTGAAAGATATTCACTTTTTTCATTAACTAATTATATATAATCTATTCAGTAAGAGATTAATATGGGAACAATTAGATAACTAAATATCTAGGTGGATCCCCATATAGACGTTCCATGGAGAATTTATTGGAAACAATATACGAGGTTATATATCTAGGTGCGTTATACTTAGAGAAGCAAGTTACTAAATGACAAAAAAATGTGGATAAAAACACTAATTTAAATCACATATATAATGATTTTAACTTAGTAATTCATGATGGGGCTCCTAGGCTCCACAAGTATTCAATTCTTGCTATGTATTTGGAGAAACATGCGAAGCTACTCAATTAAGAGAGCATCAGCCACAAACTTTAGCTAATTTTATGTCAGAAATACTAAAATACCCCATGCCCTCTCTATGTCAGAACCACAAAACCCTAGCTTTAAGGCACAAATTGAAGTGCAATCATTGAAAATGATAAAGGATTGGTATAAACTTACCTTCTTGACCAATCTCTTTCGTGAGAACGAAGGCCAAAAGTCAAAACCTTCCTTCCATTGAGGGAGATCTTGGAGGCTACTCGCTCCATCTCAAAGAAAAAGTGTGTAATTTTAGTTGAATGGGTTTCTTAGAGCAATGTATTTGTAGCTCAAAAACAATAACGGATTAGAGTTATATTCCCAGCATTTCTGTTATAGTTTGGACTAGATATATAATTAAACCACTTTTAATAAATCTAAAAATATACATATTCGATCTGGATCTTGGACTATGCAAACGGACCCTAGGTTTGTATTAATTAATCTTCTACTTTTGACGAAGTTTATAAAAAAAATGTATCGATATATATGTCTCTATTCTAGACGAAGATAGATGGATATTCTCGAATGCCATCAGCAAATGTCGTTATGAAACGTGCCTTTTGATTATTATTTTTTGTTTAGTCATTTCGCTACAAAAAAAAAGACCTAGCGGGCCCATTTTACGTCAGGCCCTTCCTGGCTTTTATCCCTTTGTTCCTAGACGACGGGCTCCCCTCTCAAACGCGCCCCCGTGAGACTTTTTAGAGGTAGAGATCTTATGCAACCCTTCGGGAGGGGCATTTCCTTTCAAACAAGTATAAATTTGCTCTTCGGTTAGTATAAATATGTAACTGTTCATTCAAAATCAATATGATTGTTCTTTTTAAAAAAATATGTTATTGGGAACGGCCGGCTGACCGAGTGGTTAGTGCAGGCTCGGTACCTCCCCGGGTGGTCGGAGTAAGTCTTGAGGGACTCACTCTCGTGGCTTCGGGCACAGCGACCAGGGTGTGGGAAAAAACTCCCTCGTCTGTCCCACGTCCAGAGCACAAGTCTGTGGCCAGCTCATCTCACGGAGCTATGGTGCCGCTATATATGGGTGGGGCAGGAATTCGAGGGTTTCCTCGATACGCGTGGAAAGATCTTCTAAAGCCGAAATACCCGGAGCTGTCCAGCCACCGCGAATTAAGTTTTTTTTAATATGTTATTCTTCATTCATGCAGGTAAAGATGACATGAAACAAATAATTTAAAATTGGTGGTCTACCAAAGAGGTTAGTATAAATACGTAACACTGTTCTTTCGAAATTAATATAATTGTTCTTTTTTCAATCGGTTGTTCACGGCGTGTAAAAATGACAGGAAAAAGACATAAAAATTACAGGAAATAAATAATAAAAATAATAGTCTGCCAAAGGCCCAATGGGCCTGCGATGCAGTGGGCCTAGGAAATAACATAAAATAATTATATACAGGAAACAAACAATAAAAAATGGTGGTCTGCCAAAGGCCTAATGGACCTGCGTTGCAAGTTTAGAGGAAGTGAACGGTTTTGGCCATTTTAAGGCTACCAGCAACTCACGCATTGTCCACCTAAAGGGTATTGCGACATGCGAGGCCACTGCTCAAACCTGGGAAGGCGGGCCGCGAAAGCAATCGCCCAAAGAGCCACCATCTGGCATCCGCACCACCTTAAATGCCCCCGCTAGGGTGACAAGCCATCGCTACTTGGCTCGGCGACGCGTCTGTTGAGGACAGATTATTTAGCTGCTTGGGATATGTGCTAACTGGCGAGGTGGTACAAATTAACGAGAAGTGCCTGCACCAAAAATAATAAATAAATAAAACGTGTCTGCCGACCGCGCGCGTACACGGTGCACCCCGGCAGGCAGTCCGGCCCCCGCGGGTGAAGCTGTATTTTCACAACTTTGTTTTACATCAAGGTTGGCTCATTGGTTCAGACAGTTTCAAATCGTACACGATCCTGGACGCCCCCAGGATGCAATGCCGGTACACCGAGTAGCGAGCTCGCTCAGTCTAGCCAACATATGAGCCACCTCATTAGCAGTACACCTTACATGAACAGAAGAAACATAAAGAAAACTACATCGTGATCGTGAGAAATGGCAAACATTGATGAGACAATTCTGCACGAAGTGGGCTTCTGCACTTGAGTGGGACAGACTGCAGCAGGAAAAAAATGGAGGTGTTTGTTGTCGTGATATCCTTGAATATAGCGTGATTGACCAGTTCTGATCAAATTGAAGCGACACTGGTTGCAGGAGAAAAGATGTACATCTTGGTATCATGCACGTCAACTTGAGCGCCAAAAGTTCCTATGACATTTTCTGATAGAGTTTCATGCTGAAAGGAACAATGCAAATTTCATGAGAACTGGTTTTTGTTGACCCAGTGCTTGAAAGATGGAACTGAATTCCCACACTTAATAGCAAACTTTTTTTTTTTTGGCTTATATTACCTTCCACAGGTCCCTAACAGAATAGGCAGCTGATCCATCAAGGCCTACTGCTGGCAGTTTCATTGTAATATTAGCAGTCTCTGAACAACGGTTCCATAGGGCAATAACAAGCCGATTTCCAGACAGGGGACCAGCCCACACCTGCAGCCACGAGTAACATTGTGAGCTTGATGTACTGATGCACTGAAAGTTGAAACTGGGCAAACAAGTTCCATCTTTGATGGCCTTCTATGCAGGCATGAATCAGCTACTCTACTAAAAAAACTTGTGCTTCACTTGATCACAAATGCAAAAATTAATCAAATACTGCCTGCAGATTTGGATGCCAATGAATATGACAGAAGCTTTTGCCTAATACATCAAACTAACAACCTACAGGCGTGCACATTGCTAGGCTGTTGCTTGTTGGGTAAAAACCAAATAAAAAAAATTACTAAATTCTAAATTGATCATGCATAGGCTACAATACTGAAAAAACTCTCACGCACTATGGTCCTAATAATATTTTACAATAGGACAACCCTGTGGCTATAACAGAGTCTATAACGAGTGGGAAATGGACAGTCAAATCACCTCGCGGCATCCATATTTTCCTTCTCCTAAAATTTTTCTACCTTGAACTCCAAGAGGATCTGCAGAAAATACAACACATGCAACTCAATGGTTTATGTAATTATATGAACATTATCAATTTAACTGTTCTGTTGGATAAGGTATGTTGGGAAATTATGTACAGAAAAGGAGAAGGTTGTCAGTTGCTATGTAAAAAC